AGTGACAGTTAAATTTGGAGCCTTTATGGTTTTTTAAAAGCCAATTGGTGAAATAAGCTGCTTTCAAACTCTTTCCCTGGGGACACTATTGGAATAACTATATTGCTATGCATAACTGCTACCTAAAGTGTGTATGACTAAACAGAACCGTAGTATCACTCCAAAAAAATTCAAGGGAAGAACAGAAAAAACTTTCTAATCCCTTTGTATATCTATCATGGAGAAGGCTCCTTCGAATTTGGAAAGATAATAAACCAGGCTACCAAAGAGAGGGTTTAGGCTCTTGTCCTAGTAAACACCATGCTTAAGGTTCATTTTCGTATGTTGTCGTCTTCATGACATTGGAAGCAGCTTATATACTTTAGAAAGAATAGAAGTTTAATAAAAGATTGAAAATATTTCTCTATGAAAAGGCTTAGTTTAATTTTCAATTTATTGGTTATACCCTTCCAGTGTTCCTTTTACATTTCCAATTTTAGATGCCACTATCAGCATTGAATTGAATTAAGTGTGGCTCATTGAAAATATATTAATTGTTCATGATCTTCTTTGCAAATTTTAGTTACATACATACATATCCTCTTTTCTCTTTGTAAAGTTCTGATGTACTATGATTATAGATACTCATAGTCTCAGATTTCATTCACTAATGTAAAGAGCTATGATCAAATTATGATCTGTACTTCATTATATTTCATTACTGCTTTGGTCACTTTATGGTAGAAGGTTATTTGCTTGGGATTTGTAAATAAAACTGTTTATGCTTGATTGATCAGTCTATCGCTGGCAGCTTGAGATTTTACCTTCATACTCATAATCATGTTTAAATTGTACACTTTAATTAATAATTATGCTATTTAAATAGATTGGAGTGTTCAAGCAGTTGTGAGCTGGATATTGTCGGAGTGTTTAGGGAGTGAAAATGTATCAATTGTTGCTGAAGAAGATGTTCAAACTCTCTCCAAGGCTCATGCATCTGGACTGTTAGAAGCAGTGGTTGAAACCGTGAACGAATGTCTAGCTGAAGCACCTCGATTTGGAGTACAGAAGCCACTACCAGCTCTTGGAACTTCAGAGGTTCTTGAAATCATTAGTCGTTGCAACTCAATTGGCGGTCCAACTGGAAGATTTTGGGTACTTGATCCGGTCGATGGCACATTGGGGTTTGTACGTGGAGATCAATATGCTGTAGCTCTAGCACTCATAGAGGATGGAGAAGTGGTGCTTGGAGTTCTAGGGTGTCCTAACTATCCAATGAGAAAAGAATGGTTAAGTTATCATCACCGATATCATAGGATTATATCCAAGTTGACTCCTCCAAGTTCTGAAACTTGGAACAAAGGTTGTGTCCTATATGCTAAAAGGGGTAGCGGGAAGGCCTGGATGCAACCTTTGCTCCATGCCAATAAGATGTTTGTGTGGCCAAACCATGCAAAACAAGTTTCCGTCTCTTCCATCGACAATCCAGCACTGGCCACGTTTTGTGAACCAGTTGAAAAGGCCAATTCAAGCCACTCTTTTACTGCAGGACTGGCTCACAGTGTTGGCGTCAGGTGCTTTTTTTTATAAATTTCATTAGCATGAGAATTATTTCTTATCTTCTTTAGTTCGTTTTGAATGTCTGTTATTAGATTCCAGTTATTGTTTGTAATCTGGAGATAAAAAGTCTCTTAGGATATGATGGCAAGCATAAAATTTTCACGTGTATAGAGAATGTTCCTTACTGAAGGACTAGTTACATTCCATTTATCTTATGAAAAAGATGGAGAATTCCAAACATCTTTCAGAAAAGTGTGCACTAGGTAGACAATATCAGTTTTGTAGTATAGTTCTATTGTTTTAACATCAAATCTTTGAACAAAATACTTGGCACTGTATATATTTATATTCATCTCTCACTTTGTATCTTTTATATACACATTTAAAAAATGTATCACAAAATCAAAGTGGCACTGTATTTTGTCTCCCCTTTTATGTTCATGGATTCTTTTCCATTTATTAGTGTAGTTGTACCATTGTAATTTAGCACTAATAATAACATCATACATATGCAGGAAACAGCCACTAAGAGTATACAGCATGGTCAAATATGCAGCAATAGCTCGTGGAGATGCTGAGATTTTCATGAAGTTTGCAAGGGCTGGTTACAAGGAGAAAATATGGGATCATGCTGCAGGTGTCATTATCATACAAGAGGCCGGTGGCGTGGTAACAGACGCGGGAGGACGCCCCCTAGACTTTTCAAAAGGTTTATACTTAAAAGGCCTTGATCGCGGTATAGTTGCTTGTTCTGGAGCTACACTACATGGAAAGATCATTGATGCTGTTGATGCTAGCTGGGGCTCTTCTAGCCTTTGAGGCTGTTTTTATTAACTTAACAATGTATACCCAACAATAATGTGAATAATATCTCATCTTTACTCAATTTCTTAGAAATCCCCATATTTTCCACCTCTACTTTCAGTTATTGTTGATGTATTGGTAACAGCATGGCATCCTTTAAGCCTGCAATTACTATTGTTTGGCATTATAATAATAATAATAGGTTGTCATAATTTCCTAGCATACTGAATGTCATATATTGAGACATAACTCTTATTGGAGAGGGATTCATGAACTTGTGTACCATAGCAACTCTATCCAATTACTCAACTTCTTGGTAGCATTAAGTCCTAGGCCAAACAGCTCAGAGAATCTATTATGTGTAGGAAAAAGTTGGTGAAATTGAGTATCAAGTGAATAATTGAGGAGCTATCTAATTATAGCTAAAATGCATAGAGCTCTCAGTCACAAGTTTACTAAATTAAGGGCTAATTTCTTTTTACATTAAGGTTTGTTTGCAAGATATTATTTGTAGGGATGGGAATGAGAAAACTCAGTAAAACCAACTCGCACACACTCCTTAAGCAATAATAATATCTAATTTATTTATCTTTTTTTTATAGTATTTTCTTCAAAAAAGTTTCATTTTGGTCTTTCCGAAACTATGTTCAAGAACCCTAATGGAATGTCTTACACCATATATCATGGACAAAATGATAGTAGTTTTGAGACATTTACATTAGGATTCATATGATAGTTGATATAAGAACTAAAATAAAACTTTAATAAGAACAAAATAAATCCAAAAACATAAATGACCACAAGAACTCCAATAAAATTTCATTTATTCATGTTCATATCTTTCTAATGAGTCCCCAACACATACTCAGCATTTTTCTCTACTTCTCACTGTATTATTCTTAAGCTGGAAGTAAAATAAATATTTGGTTTAAAAATTATTACATGATCACATCGCTTTTATAAATAGATGGAACCTATTACAAATATTGAAACGAGTTGTTACTCTCCATAATAACACTTTGCATACAATACTCGTCTTTTGATGCTGTCACAAAAATTGAAGGGTGAGAGTAACAAAACACAAACACAAGACAGTGTATGAGTAAGAACTAACATAAAATGTATTGTTGAAGTTACAATTAGGGGCAATTGATGCAGGTGCATTTACTATTGTGGCATGTGTAATCACGACACTCCATATACAAGCATTCGCTATAGCAGTCTATGTCAATATTACATTTCGATGCTGTCATCAAATCAAATTAAGCCAACGTTACTAATGGAATGATGAAAATATATGTGGCAGGTTATGAACGGAAAATGATAATAATGAAAAGAAAGATTCACTTACCGTAGGTTAAAACAAAAAAGAGGCAAAACAAGATGAGCAATGCATAAACGATCTCAAAAGCTCTTGCCATATCTTGCCAATGTAAAAAAAGTTTCATCACTTTATAGTTTATACTAATATTAAGAAATCCGAGTCCAACACTCCAACGTCAAATCACAAAGAATCATGCATTAGCTTTAATTGATTAAGACCAAACGACATTATACATAATTATATATAATATTTACATTGCTTTAAAGTGTAAACAGAAGTTACAATATTTACACCAATTGAATAGTCATGTAATATCTTTAAGTGGAAGTTATCCATTATTATGTACCTCTTTGATACATCAACGGCTCAGGATTGTCTCTCGAAACAGCTAAAATGATCACTTAATCTCACTGTAAGCATACGGCATGAGTCTAATTAATATTAAGATATCTTTCTTTCTTTACCCCCATTTTTATTTTATTTCTCTATGTTTTTCTCATCATGGACATGGCCAAAAGCCAAAAAGAGACATAGTAATAAATGATTTAAAAAAAATTAATGCTGTATATTTTAATTTATTTTTATATAAAAACATTAGGAATTAATAAACCAACCTACACCCTTCATGCCACTGTAATCTTAAGTGATGTTATGGAAAGACATATAAACTCCAGAAAATAAATGAATTTGTTAATTATCCAAAAATTGAGGATAATTTTGGTAGTAAAAAATATCCCTTTTAACCATTAGGATCAATGAGTCCTCTTTCCACTTTCGTAATTTTCTTAAAAAAATCTTTTTTCCCTAACACTTGGAGTTTACACATAGCAAAAATAAAATAATTTTACTAGATGATTTAGCTGTTTCCATGACTTATATGATTTGACCACCATGCATGTAATTGTGCACATGAACATATTCATATTGAAAAGGAAAACTACCCAAAAAAAGAATAACGTCCATTAACTTCTAAAATTATGCAGAAAATTTCCATCAATAAAAAATAATCATGCAAAAGGCTTCCATCAAACACGCACTTATACGATTTAGGAGAGTTAAGATTTTATTTTAGTTAGATATGGGTATGGATAAGTTTAATTAAGCTGGCTGAAGGGGAATGAGATCCAAACTCAAAACCTTTACTTCATCTATGATGTGGTTGTCTAAGACTAATATTAATGGGTAATGAAATAATCTGACTCCTTAGTTTGATTTGATGTTAAGAGTATGAATCAGTAAATGTTGAAGTATAGGAAAAGACATTTGTTTTATGAATATATTGTGTATACTCAACCTGAACTAGTTTTGCTCAAATTTATATATTGAAGTTCGTTAACTATATGTCCTTGAGATAGAAGCAACTGTATATATAATAATTGCAACCGACCTACTACAAGATCATAAATGTTTTACATCGTATATGATTTATGATTCCAACTACACCTATGTCATTAATTTAATCATATCCCACTAAACACATTTAAATATTCCTCCTCCACTATCTCACCTTTTTTCTCATCAAACTTCAGTTCACCTTGATTTGATTTCAAACTCATCCAAAATGAAACCTTTCACCACCTTCATTCTCCTTTTCACTACTCTACTTCTCCTAATAGCTTCTGTTGCAACCGGATCCTCTTCACCTGATGGTGGTGACTTCTTTGGTCCTGAAGGAGGGTTCAACATACCCGGATTTGGAAATGGAATCATAGGAGGAGGGTATGGATCTGGGTATGGAAGTCCCAATGGAGGGCACTCTAAAAATGGTGTAGTCAGACCAACTGTTGTGTGCAAAGACAAAGGACCTTGTTACCAGAAAAAGGTTACTTGCCCAGCTAAGTGTTTCACTTCTTCCAGCAGTTCCGGCAACGGATATGGTGGCGGTGGCGGCGGTGGTAGTTGCACCATTGATTGCAAGAACAAGTGTATCGCTTATTGTTGAAGGAAGCACATGCAGTAATAATATTTGTAACACTTGTTACTGGTACTAGTACTATGGATGAACTTTATGGTTAAATATATATTTTATTTTCTCTAGTAGTATCTATATCTATAGATGGAAAAAAAAGTATGGGACAATGTTTGATGGAATAGAGAATTATGGAGTGTGTTATGCTTAATATTATTATATGAAAAAAGTTTATTATTAAGCTGTTGCATTTGGAAGAAAGAATTAGATAAACTACTCTTTTTTGGGTGGGTTATATGCTCTCAATTTTCTATTTACATTTCTTTTGAGAGTTGTGACTAATTAATCATAATTTAATAAGATAAAAAAGCTATACTATGATTAGTTCATAAGTTGTGTGAATAATAAATAGCAATGAATTTGGACTGTATAGTAATCTCACCATTTCCTTCCTATAATGGAAACGCGGTTTGGACAAGAAAACATGGTAGGTATTAAATTTGAGGTAGGTTTATAACTTTTTATACAGTTCATGTCACCACATTCATATTCTTATCATCTACTACATTTATTTGTTTTTTTTATATTATACATTTATTTAAGTTTTACATCTAATACTTACTATATATATTAGTATTTAATATTAATCGCATAAAAATTGAGTCCCATAAGTATTTCAATAATTCAATCAATGGGATAAAAACAATTTTTCTGAAGGTAGGATTTCGTTAGTGTAGTTATTGACAATGAATACAGAATAAAAATAAAATATTAAAAAGTGTGAAAGTTAAAAAGATTGTAACTTTAAAATATTTATTAATTGAAAAACAAATGAGAAATGCTTTGATTAAAAGTACTAATAGTTACTTGTACAGCAAATATATTTTCTATTGAAATGAGAGAATTTACTTTTTCAACAAAGATAAGCTCTATTTTAGATACGTAGTTATGATCAACTATTACCTTTGATCTTATACAATACTTAGAAAATCAACATGGCATTAGGCCAACTTGTTGATGAAAACATGGCCATAAGTCTTTGCTTTAATATACACTGAGAATACTATTGTGTATTGGATGATTCACATTTTAGGATTAAGCACAATAGAAACATTGAATCATGTAATATGGTGCTATTTTAACCAAGTGGCTAGTTGATACTGTTTTGTAAAAATTGCTCAGTTTGACTGAAATTGATACAATCCTTTTGGGGAGTGGATCAAACAGGTGGCACATTACACATGAGAAAAACAATTAAAGCCAAAACCCAACACTGGGTAGAATATTTCTTATCCTCAATTTTTGTGGCTAAGTAATTTAGAGCATCAATCCAAAGTCCAAACACAAGGTGATTTATCAAAATGCAGCCCTCATTGCTCCTCTTGCAGCCTCTTGCCTCATCTCCACCGCCTTACCACTGCCACGGAAGTACATATACACTTGCTGCAATGCACCCGAAGAAAACGTCAGCGGGTACTTTGGTTAGGTACATGCAAATTTCAAAGTGCTAGGTGCATCCACTTAAAAGAAGTGAAAACATTGAAAAGTATAATCAAACCTGAATAACCCAGATGCTGATCAATGTCTCAATGCAGAAATATCCAAATCCAATAAAATAGAGAATCTGCAAGCAAGTGGACAAAGATAAATAAATTATCCATAACTCAAAAGTTGAATATTTTAATTGGAGAGATTTTGCAGCATTTGACAAATGTTAACTTGACAAAGATTGCTTAAACAAAGGGCAATGTTCGATAAATGAAAATTACACAGTATGCAGGAATACGAAATATTTGAGGATAGGCATACTTACTCCAACCACAGCATGGCCATCCAGCACATCTATAGCGGCCAGAATGCCCCTGCATCAATGAGTAGAGTGCGAAGAATCACGCAAAAACATTATGATAATTATAGCATCTTGAAAATATGGAACACATTCGATCCTAGATTTTATGCCTCTTACCAACATGCCTACCAGTTTGACTTTCTAGGGACTCTAGGACCCCTGAGATCTCAACTCACTTAATTTTGTTGCTGTATAGAGTGATTATTCTTGTGTCCTAGGTTCAATTCATGTCAAACTCTAATATTATTTTCTCAGATACTCCTTTCATTTCTTTTTTAGAAAACAAGAAGAAAAGCCTTTTCTAGCAAAGTGAGTCAGCTGCATGGATTAAATGACACCATTGTGTTCCTTAAAAAATAAAATTTTCGGGAAGGCCGCTTAAATTCTCGGTTTACTTGTTACACGGGCAACGCCATATAAGCAATAAGGAGTAAACAATATTGACATGTTAAATGAAGAGGATATTGTAGTAAACGTACGTCAGGGATTTTCCTTTGAAAACTATAGGAGGAGCAACTGCAGCTAAGATGCAGAATCCAATGTGAAGCTGTAAACAGAAAAAAAGATATGAGGATAATAAAATTTAATCCTATATTAGAAACATAGCTTACATGCAGAAAGAAAAATAGTCATTTTACCAGGTAAAACATGAAAAACCATCCATAATTTAAAGCACTGTCAGTCCTGCAAAAATAACAAGACTAAACATCATCCTGAAATAAAAAATGAATCATGTTATAGCATAACAATATTCAAACGATAAAGCTAAATCTCTCCAGTTTCATCATTGTATTCTGCCATCAGTGGAAACCCCTTCCAAATATGAATAAGAAAGGCTAATAGTTAATGTGAGCAGAATGATCAAGTGACCATCACCAAATCACAGAAATAGAGCACATCTTAAGAGTATCTTATTTTTCTCCCGGTTTTTTGGGGTCGAATAACGGTTTGAAACTTGACCTCACGCAAACCACCCAAACCTTACACCACTAGCCCAATTCAAGTGACTTTATATTCCTACTTCTGAAATCTCTAAATCACATGGACAACAAGTCTCTTCATTAACCTGGATAGTGCCACAGATGCTAAAAATCTAAAAAAGACTATAATTAAATAAATAAAACCACCTTTTCTGCAAAGTGGATAACAAAAAAAGGTAATTGACCTCCAAGCAGTTCTTCAATAGAAAATCAAATGGACTAGTTCATTTACTTTAATTGTTCAAAACTTCCAGCTACTGTTATACTAACCATGGGCATCACTAAGTGTGACACAATTTAATCACACAAATGAATTCGATCAGACTCACCACTTCTAGTTACTCCACAATGCCCCAGTTTCTTCAACAATTTTTGGTCTTATAAATGTGATGTTATATAAAAGAGATGCTTGCAATTGTCATTGGAAAAAAAATCAAACAGCCAATGGATGGAGTATTGAAAATAATTACCTAAAAGCACGATATAATGGGCGATACCATAGGACATATGCTCCAGGAACCCCTGATATGAAGTAGATAATAGAAAGAAACCATATTGTTACACCTGCAACAAAGAAGGGCAAGTTCCACGTGCATGGAATATTTTGACATCAGATTTGAAATCCAAGCCATTCAATAACCTAGAAAATCCTTGCTCCGTAGCAACACTGACCTTCTCCCTTAATCCAAGCGGCAGTGACAGCTATGATATTCCATGTAAGGCATGACACCAATCCTGCATCAGATTATTTTTCATCATCGACTGCAGACATATCACACTCTTATATAAACTTTTTTTGGTATAAAAATGTACAATAAATTGACTTACAGAACATACAAGTGATTAGTTTATTCTTTTAGAATAATCAATTAGAGAGAATTCATTCATCATGCCTTTGTCTTACTCAACCATACAGGTTAGAGCCAACCAGACAGGTTAATGGTTTGAATCATTCAGACAAAACCAGTTTATCAACATCTCACTACCTATTCTCATACACTTCTCCTCTTCAATGCTTCAGTTTTACTCAATTGGCCTTACATTTATATAATTTAGGTGGTAGGAAAAATTAGAAAAGGTTGGCTTCAACTTACAAGTAAACATGTAAAGTTAGTCATTGATGCTTAATTAAAAGCAATGCTGCAATATGCAACCTCTCTTACAATGATGCAATTTGCAACCTCAATAATTGCTTGCATTAAAATAATGTGACCAACCAATAATGAACCCCCCCCCCCCCCCCACCCCCCCCCAACCAACAAAATAAGATATGATCATATACCTAAAAATGAAGTAAATGCAACATATTGCAGTCTTTGGAGATGAATTGGAATTTCATTAGCAATATCGTGATGGATAATTGGGAAAAGCGGTGGCCAATTCTTCTCGTCAAGAGAAATTCCAGCTGCAAAATAAAATGTGAGCAAGCACTCCAAGACTAAAAGCAGAACTAAAGATATTTAATGTGCAAGTGGAAAAGCATTAGTTAAAACTTTTCTGAATCTGAGTTCGGTTTTGTAGAATTGGTTGACTGGTACATGAAATGGAGCACATATATAGTTCGAAAGTAGTGGTGTTTTTCATCGTCCAATTGAATGCCAAAACAAACAAAAAACCGCCAAGGAAACAAGTAAACCTAACCCCTAACGTAAATTACCTCGAGCAGCAGCTTCTTCTTTCCGTCTAACATCCTGTACTTTGATGAATCAGTACAAAAAAATTAAGGTGAACCTCCAGGTGTGGGTAAATAATAAGGAATCAGTAATCAAAGCTTCGCATATACAAAATTAACTGAAAACAAATATAAAAATAAACATTCTGAACATAGGATAGAAGATATCATTATTTGCAGAGGATAAAATATTTAAGATGGACAACTCTGGAGATCAACCTATCTTACAATCATAAGAATTTCAGATGCCCTCATCATTTCAAAACTTTAAAAAGTAATATAGTATGAGTAATTGACAATTGTACAGATTAAACTATATACACCAGGAAAAAATATATCACAGTAACAATTTAGAAGCACACGAATAATCAATTTAGAAACAATTAACCTTATGGGTGGTTAATAAATTCAATATTATTTACTATTAACCACTTGGTCAAAAAATATATTCTTCTGTCAACATTAGTTTTCTTTTAAATAACTTCATATGGAACTCTCAACACAAGTGAACTGAAAGAGAAAAGATAAAGAAAACCAAAGATAACATATAACAGGAAGATGATCCAACTTTGGATATATTAACTAAGAGAACTCTCAACACAAAAGTGAACTGAAAGAGTCTACCAAATCCCATTGTATACCTGTTCCCGTCTCCTCAATTCAGACTCCTTAGCTTGGAGTTCCTTTTCCTTCTTTTTCAAATCCTAAAGTTGAAACCAAACATAATTGGAAAAGGCACAATCAATTCTAACAAAAAAAT